GTGTGTCTGCAAATTGAATTTCAGATGCTCACCCACTGTGGTCACCAATAGTCTTATACAGGTTACTGCTGGCCTCAATCATATTCATTCATACCCACTTTCAATCTATGAAATCTTTGTTATCTACTTGCCCATACTAAACATGGCTATCTTCTTTTAAAAATATGAATGTGTGTTCATTGTAGAAAATTTAGAAAGCTGGGAAAAAATAACACAGATTAAAAAATTGCCAGCAATTCACAATCATTCCTTTGTTTAATGACTATTTCCACCCCTTTAACTAATGTTTAAATAGGAGTTAAGTCTGCTATTTGTATTATAGGCTCCTTATCCAGGATATAGTCATGTCTATATTATTCATCATATAATTTATTATCATCATGGAAACCTTTGCTTGGGCTCCGTAAATGCAAAGTTTGCCATTTCATAGCTACAAAGAAAAGTCATGAATTAATCTTGCAAATTATGGTGTATAGTGCCAGCATTGTGTGAACATTTTTAGATAATTGTGCTTCATTGTTAGCTTGCTTGGATGATCTCTCATTTGTCTTCTTTCTCAGAGGGATGCATCAGGAAGGACTGCACCACCACAATCACTGTAGATGTTTTGAGTAGCTTAGAAAAGATTCAGGAAAGATATAAATGAAATGATCAATGTACCAATTAAAGAAATGTTTCGAGCAAACATTAAGTACAGAATGCATTCTCTATGTTCTTTCTTTAAATTTTATTTATTTTTGAATTAGCATAAAATAGTAATACAAGGGGGAGTTTCATTGTGATAATTATACTCATGCATACAGTATACTTTGAATAAGTTCACCCCCTCTATTATTTTCCAGTACCCACCCTTCCTCCTCCCCCCTTTTCAAAGTGTTTGATTATGCTGTATATATATGTATATATAAAAAAAGTATATATAAAATGTACTTCGTCTTCACCCCTCAGTGTTCTTTCCTTTCACCCTCTCCACTCTTGCTGATAGTCCCCTTTTACATTCATGTCCCATAATAATAATTATTATTATTAATATTATTCTCATCATTATCATTTCAGGTCTAGATTTCACAAATGAAAGACAATACGAAAGATTTGGCTTTTTTGTGCTTGGTGTATCTTGTTCAACATGATGATCACTAGTTCCATCCATTTTTCTGTAAACAACATAATTTCATTTTTCTTTATGGCTGAATAATACTCCATAGTATGCATATATCATATTTTCTTTTTCCATTCACTCTTTGTTGGACACCTCAATTAATTCCACAGTTGAGCTATTGTGAACAGAGCAGTAATACACATAGATATCCAAATATCTTTCTTCTATATTGGTTTACACTCTGGGTATATACTGAGAATGGTATGGCAAGGTCATGAGGTAATCCTATTTTTTGTTTTTTAAGGAACCTCCGTACTGATTTCCGTAGTGGTTGCACAAGTTTGCATTCCCACCAACGAGGTATGAGGGTTCCTTTATTTCCCCCGCATCCTAGCCAGTATTTGTTTTTGTTTGTTTGCTTGTGATGGCCATTCTGATGGGTGAAATGGAATCTTAGTGTAGTTTCAAAATGCATTTCTTTTATGGCCAAGGGTGCTGAACATTTCTTCATGTGTTTATTAGCCATTTGCATTTCTTCTTCTGAGAACCATCCATTCAATTCATTTATCCATTTATTTATTAAATGGATTATTTGTACATTTGTTGCTTAATTTGTTTGTTCTTCTTATATTCTGCATATTAATTCCTTTGCCTTTGAGTAGCTAGTGAAGTTTTTTTTCCCATTCTGTGGGCTGTCTCTTGATTCTGCTAATTGTGTCTTTTGATGTGCAGAAACTTTTTAATTTGGTGAAGTCCCATTTGTCAATTCTCAATCTTTTTTCCCCCCCGGGAGTCTTATTCAGAAACTAATTATCTATGCCTATATCTTTCAGAATTTTCCCTATGTTTTCTTACAGTGGTTTCAAAGTTCACATCTTACATAAGATCTTTGATTCATTTGGAGTTGATTTTTGTACTGGTGAGAAAGAGGGGTCTACTTTCAGTCTTCTGCATGCAGACACTGAAAAAGAAAAAAGAAGAAAAAGGAGGAGGAGGAAGAAGAGGGAGAAGAGGAGGAGAGGGAGAAAGAAGAAGAAGAATAAAGAGGAGGAGGAGATTAAACCTTGGTCTAAGTGACCAAAACTTCTCCTGCTCCCTTCTGATGGGGACTTACTGTATTTATATTTGATTTTCTCCTTACCTGTCAGCAAGCATGCATGCATATTCCAAGTGTGAACTAACCTGCTGAATAGTAATAAAAATAAAATTGCACATTCAGAAAAAACAGGACACAGGAAATTCTTCTCCTTGAAAGGGAAGTAGCACAGGAGCACCTGCTCATCATCCACTTCAGACATCTGCCAGTACACTTGTTAAGGCTCTGCTCCATAGCCCTCTTCTTGTGACACCTCTATATGTGGTTTGAACAAAAGTAAGACATAGAGCTCATCATTTTTTTTTTTTTTTGAAGAAAGTTGCCACAGTCACAAACTAGAATTACAAATCAGGCTTTGTCACTTAGAGGTATACACTGTGTGAAAAACAGCTGTCTGTTGTCAGTGAACATGATATCCTTCCTTGCTTGTTATCCCTGTTTTTTCCATTCAACAGCAGATTCAACCATCACAACAATTTTTTTCAGATGTTTTTGTTTGAGGAATGATTTTGGATGAATTTTTTACAGTGTACCTATTCTCATTTTTGGCTGGAGGAGCAATATTATTGCTGAGGTTTATCTTGTTCTAAGAAAAGGAACTCAAGATAAAAGAGAAATTATAAATTACAAGTGTGTCTTCTGTCTAGAACTTTCTAACCTGTTCTCTAACCTGTAACCTGAAAATCTCATCTCCTTTTCTGGTGCTTAGATGAATTGTCCTTTTATTTATGCAAGTGTCAGAGAAGTGAAACAGCAAACAACTCTATGTGCTTTGAAAAATCTGTCATCACATATTGTTGCATTTTGTGAGCCTCCAAGAGAAAGAGACTCTGGCTTCCTGATCCAGTTTGAAGATACATCTTAACCCTCGGAAAATCAACTGAGAAAAGCAGTGATGTCCAGTGGCCCCGGCTCAGTATGAATGTACTGTTTCTCCTAAAATTATTTACTCTGAGAATGAAGATGAAGCTGCACAATAGCTATATCCATCTCTGAATTCAGGTAGTTTCGCTTCACAACACCCACTTACTAGTTGTCACAAGACTATCTCAGAAGTAAAAGAGCACACTTGTGATGTTCATAAAGGAAATGAGAGTTGGATAGGGGCCTCACCCACACATTGATTAGATCAATAATTGTACATTTTAGGAATAATTCTCTGCTAGGAATATCTTATTTTTTGGTGAGTCTGGAGAGAGAAGACAAATAGAAATTTTGGAACTTTATGAATTTAAAACTATGTGAATGTAACATGACCAAAATAAATATGATTAATTTGCCAGAAAAGGAAACAGGAGGATGATGTGTTTGTGTTAAATGTTATTATGTGTTAAACTCTATGTATTTTCCTTTATCTTAGATACAAAGATCTACGTAGTCGGTGCCATTCATTTCTTGTGTTCTATTATTTATCTGATAGATTATTAGGTGTTTCCTTCCTTACAAATATTGTAATTTTTGTGTTCAGAAATATGGTAGGGTTAGTTAATGAGCATATAATATAGACACAATAATCCTAATTAGTGCTGACCACATACCATTGCTTTAGTTACATGAAGAAAAATAGAAGCAATTTTCGATTATTGAAATTTGTGAAATTTAAAATATATTTCTGACAAATAAATCATGCACAGAGGCATGGTTTTTTCAGAAACAAGTTATGAAATGTAGCCAGCCATTCTATCCCTGCCATTGGAGCAGGCTTTGAGATCAGGAGACATGGATGCCCCACACTTCTTGGAGGACTTTGACTCAGGTTGCTAGAACCTGTTGTCTATAGCAGAGAGAGCCTTCTGTGTGATGATGGCTTTGCACGTGAAGACAGAAAAAGAATACACTCTACAACCATAGACACTTGTAGGACTCTATGTGACTGCAAATTTGGATGGGTTGTTGGGGAGGCAGGTCTAAAATTTACATTCATTAAAATAATCATGAAGCATTAAGGCCACAGTAGCACCTTCCTGCTGTGAAACGTAAAAGAGATACAAAGCAATAGTTTCCAAACATTAGAAAGGTGTAAGACCAGGGTAGTTTCCTGAGGAAAGAGAAACAAATAACTTGAGCGCTAAAATTGCCTCAGATTACCGACCCAGGCAGTTTCCGTGCCACTGTGCTATGAGGGGAAATTGAAACGAATCCTGGAGAATTTGCTGAGTTGTGGAGACTGGTAATAGAATTCAGGAGGCCAAAGTGGCTAAAATGTGTGAGGCAGCACTTGTTAAAGGAACTACAGCAGAGAGAATCCCTGTGATCACTTGAGAGCTGACCTATAGATCCTTGGATTGGGGGATTCAGATTCCAGAAAGAAGCAGATTAAATAATTTCTAGGCCTTACTTAGGGGTAGGAACAGTTTCTTTTTCCACCATTGGAGTGGACAGGGAGCGTGATTGACAAGGTGTTTGTTAGGGTCTGAAGAAGGTTCATATCTTAGCTGTGGAGCTAAAGTAGCCTTAGACCAAATTCTATTGACCTGGTCTACCAACCTGAAAAGCAGATTCATAAAGACTAAGATGATCCTCAATAACTAAGCAGCATGCCAGAACAAAGGCTGACACTCTTTAAAGGAATATCACAAGATCTAGCAATTCAATAGTCAATAAGGTAAAGTTCACAATGTCCAACCTCCAATCAAAATTCACTCAGTATGGAAAGAATAAGAAAAACATGAGTCATCAGCAGAAAAATCAGTCAATAAAAACATATCTAGAAATTACAGGAACAACTTGAAACAGCTTTTATTAATTCTGAAAATATACCAAATAATCTAAAAGAAATAATATATAAATGAAAGGACTGGAAGACATAAAAAGACACAATTTAACCTTCTAAGGATGAAAGCACTCATCACTTGGAAGCCAGTTTGCAGAAGTCAGAAGATACTTCTGCAGCTTTATAAATTTAAAACTAAAAGTCATGGTATGACAAATTAAATGGAATTGGCTCACGTTTGTCTCTAAAAGTGCTGTTCTTCCTCAGTAAAACCTCTGACCTTTAGCCAAACTCTTTTCCTCTTCTAGCTCAGCAAAGTCACAGCTGATTCCTCAGCCAGGAGAATCAGTCCTCACTAGCACCGGCAATGTTAGTGACTTAATGTCAGTCATTTAGGAACAGCAATCCTAAATCGCAACGTGCGAAACAATTTCTCTCACTTCTCACTTCTCACTTTTGAAGTCCAACAGTAACTTCTTTCAAGGTAATTTTTCTCTCAACTCCTCTTCTCTAAACATGTATATTTTTATATCTAGAACATCAAAAAACTCCATTCTTCTCCTGTGTGGGTGCATGTGTAAGTTTATACATGTGATGCTTGTACATGAGTGTTACCTTGTGCTACGTGGATACATGCTGTGTGTAAATGTGTGCATACTCGTGTGGAGTGTGTGAGACATGTTCATGTTGCATGTGATAATGTGTGCCATGCATATGTGAAATGTGTGAGTATACATGTGTATTTTGTGTTTTGCACTATGCATGCATGCCTGGAACACACAAGAATGCTCTATTGTGCATGTACACAGATGTGGATATTGTAAGTGCTGTGTGTGCATGTATCTGTGTGGTGTTTGTGTATGGGTTGCAGTTAATGTATTCCTTTATGTGCATGTAGGCTTGTATGTGTATCTGTGTGGTGTATATGCTGTGGGTTACACAGGCGTTTGTTTTGTGTATGCATTGAGCATACATGTGTTGGGGGTGCATGCTCATACATGTCTGTATACTCACCGTATATGTGCTGTGCATGTGCGCTACCCTCCTCTGTTTCTTCTTCTTGCTCTTGTGTTTCACTCTGACCTCCCACTTCATCACTATCTCATCGCTGAACCTGAGTCTGGTGCTTTGTGGATGTCAGCCTAGTACTGCTCCTTACTGTCATCTCTCTCCAAAGTCATCACCCTTCATCCTAAATGTCTGTTTACTTGTGTGTATCACAGAGACCACGAGCTCTTTTACAGGAAGGATCCTGTTTATTGCTCTATTCCAAGGACTTGGTATCACATGTTAAATATAACCTGACATTTACTTCATCCGTATGCCATTACCAGTAACCATAAAGCTTGGTGAGACAAAATCCACCTTTTAATCTAGAACCATCAAACTCTGAACAAACACTGAGCAATGTAAATGTTCACTTGGATGGTGATATCACAGTAAGGATAAAAATGAGAACAGAGGATAATGTTTACATTTACCAAAACATTTTCCAATTTGCTACGTGTGAAATGTTCAAAAACATTCTATACAAAATGACCCAGTTTATTTCTTAACTAGTTTTTGTTTATTGAATATCTCTCTATAGATATATTCAACATATACTCAATATATGTGTATATATTCAATTTGGCTAAGAACTACCTAATATATATATAATATATATCTATAGATATATATATATAGATATATATTATATATATATGGCTCATGGACCCAGAGAGAGTTTAGTTTTCTTGGAATATTTCTGTTTCCTTTAAAAAATATTTCATTCAACTAACATCTGACACTGTATTTAGCAATCTCTCCTAAGTCTGCTTGTCAGTTTTCAAGGGGATCCATTTATGGATCTCTAATATTCAGGCAGTGACTTTTTACTTAAACTACTCTTGTCAAGTTTACATTATCATTATTATAATAATTCCTTGTTCATGAATGGCTATGGCTAGAGGCTAAGAGCAAGCTATCATTCCCAAAAGAAAACACCAGAAAAATCATTTATCACTTTATCCCTTTCCTTATCAAGAATTTCTTCTCACAGAATGAGGCTTTTCCCTGAGGCTCTTTGGAAATTGACAATTCAGGAAGAATCAATGGAGAGCTGCACTTTTGATGGATGAACCATTAGAAAATTCTATGGCATTCTTCCCATGACCTTTTCCGGAGACAGATGAATAGCCTTCCAAAGGTTGCATTTTATTTTATGTTCAAAAAAACCAGCCAGCAAAGGTGTATTAGAAACAACAGAATCATGTTAGGTTCTTTCCCAAAGTAAAGAACATGAAGGGGGAAGGGAAAGTGGAAGTTAGAGAAGAGGAAGTGATTTGTAAAGATAGGAGAAGCACCAACATTAAATAGCTCTGAACAGGAGCATTCTCAATTTCTTGGAAGACAGCTTTTAACTCTCCCACTCTATTAGTTATCTTCAAACTTAATAAATTTACGTTTAGATACTGCCCTCTTCATGCACATCAAACACTGTTCTGTTACCTACATGGGACATCTCCTGTTTCATAGTCCATGAAGACTACTGTGGAAAAAAATAAATATGTCAAAACAACAGCACACTGATGACTTGAAACATGATATTTAGAAATATCAAGATTTAAATTATGTAAGGGCAGACCACATGTGAGGGATGATTATGGCATATGAGTCAGGAAGCACTTCATGGAGTTATTTAAGAGATGTGAATGTGAAAATAAAAAAATCTCAAAAGAATCCAAATAATGGGAGCTGAGGAATGTAGCTCAGTGGTTAGATAGATTGCTTGACTCCCAGAACTGAGGAAAGAAAGAAATGATAGAGGGAAAGAAGGAAGGAAAGAAGAAAGGAGGGAAGGAGGGAAAGAGGAAAGGAAAGAAGGAAAGGGAAAGAGGGAGGGAAAGAAAAAAGAGAAGTAAAGAAAGAAAGAAAGAAAGAAAGAAAGAAAGAAAGAAAGAAAGAAAGAAAGAAAGAAAGAAAGAAAGAAAGAAAGAAAAGAAAGAAAGAAAGAAGAAAGAAGAGAAAGAAGAAAGAAGAAAGAGAAAGAAAAGCTTTTAAATAATGGTTTAGAAAAGAGGGAGAACAAAATGAAGCCATAGGGTAAGGGTAAAGATTGACTCAGAACTCTGGAAGGGGAGTACACAGGACTTTGGTTCATATCCCAATAATGACAAAGGCCACAAACTGCCAAGGCACTGCATTTCCAAATCAGGCCAGTAACAATTCTGTCTTAGTGAATATACGTTAAAGTATTCAAAATATAATTTTATGTAACTGAATATTTGACTTCTTGGTATTGGTTTTATTGTGTTGTGTTATGTTTTATAGAGTTTAGATGTTTTTTAAAGTAACAGCATTCCACACAGAGTATTGTTATGTATATTAATGCTTATCTTTAAGCAAAATAATAAAATGCTCTTATTTCTTGAGGATTATTATACTGTATTAACCACTTTGCATGTCATACTTTACTAACTCTAAAAATTCTTAAGAATGAAGCTTTATTCCATCTGCTTTATAACATAAAATGATAACAATAAAAGAGGTTTTGAAAAATCTCCAGGAGATAATGTGAGATAAGGTAATTTGAGATTTGATAATTTATTATCAAGTTATCGATTTTTTATGTCAGTTATGTCATCAGAAAATCACCTACTAAGTTAAAGGTAAAGAAATAATAAAAATAATACATTGTGACAAAAAAAAGTTTTATATTAGAGATACTGGAGATATCTATACAATTCTAAATTGCTCAAGTGGAAAAAAATTAACAAAAACAATGAATTTTCCAAGAATAAAGTATAATCCCCAAAACAAAAATTCATAAAACAGTCAATATTTTTCCACTTGTGACACTAAAGAAATGAGTATCCCTATGACCTGCAAAGGAGCGTCATTGTATGTATGAATGAGTTAATGACCAGTGGAAACTGGGGACAAATTCTTCTAAGTAGAGACATTCATTTTATTGGCATTTTCCCTAAGTCATTAAGTAAAGTAAAACACATTTTTGAAACTGAAAACATTTCTTAGAATTTCAAAGAGCAGATTTTGCAAATTTTAAATCATCATTCTTTCCATCTCTCTCCATCAACATGAAATCCTAAGTAAAGGTGGATTGTGAGCCAGGCACTGAATAAAAACCAGTAAAAATAAGTGAAAGACATTGTGATTAAGGGACTAAAATTTAATTTAAAAAGCCAGGTTTACAATGGAAGATGGTTATAGGTATTGTGATTTATATGAAATGTTTTTCATTATGGGAGAACATTAATGCTCACTTTATAAATCGTGCCAACATATTAAAATTTTCATCTCTTAGACTTCAAGAGATACATTTGATTATTTCTTTATAACTACAATTATGAATAAGATATTTAATAATTCTAAAATTTAAAGTAATTGTGAAGTTAATAATGCCCACAAAGAACAGTCTTTTCTTTCACAGAGGTACAATGAGAAACTGATGCTCAGAACCAGTGTGGGATTTAGTGAATGCTATGCTCCAGGCTTGGATAAAAATATAGTCAAGGGCAAGAGTAGGAAAAGAGTACAATCCTCACCATCTCCATTTAGAGAGATTAATAATTCTATCACATTATTGACAAAAATATGACCCTCAAGAGACTGACAACCCAGTTAGACCTTAACATTAAGGATGATTATATTGGGGGTGTAGTCGGGTGGTCAACAGGTCTCGTAGGAAGGCAGTCTACGTAAAGGAAAGGGAACAAGAAGAAGTCAGAGGTGGCATGCAGTCTGCTCTCCAGTACAATGACTTTGGTTGTTAACCAGCCAACCCTTTGTGAATCTCATTTCTCACCTCAAGAATCTTATCAGAATATTTTTTTCCAGTTCACCTTACCATTCTCTCTCAAGACAAGTTAGGTATGATATTCTCCTTTTATTACATTTTTAGTTCTGATATATTGCTCTATTCTTTTAAACTCCTTTATATTAGCTCCCTAAGGAGATATCCTGGTGACCCACTCCTGAATTGTTCTTTTTATTCAGATGTGCTCTAGACAAAACTTTAATATTTTTAATCAATATTTTATAGTCCTTGAATCCCTAGTTTTACAAAAGCTTAATGAATCTTTCCTTTTAATATACAAAAATGGTGCTTTGAAATAGCCACAGACCTATTCTTTCCTGGGTGTTTATGATGCACAGTAATATATTGAAAAGTGAGAATTCCTCCAGTACAGGCATAATTTTTAACTTGCATAGTCATCTGATTTGGGATAGTTTAGTTCAGGCACACCCACGGCATGAGTTCTATAGATCACACTTTGGGAAGTGCTGAGTTAGATTGCTATGGTGTTAATATCATGTATAAATATTCAGAGTATTAGAAGAAGTTCTAAGTACTAGGAAAACTGTATTCAGAATTATAATATAGATAAATAAAAAAAAGTCATGAGAAGATGAAACATATACATTCCTTTGTCATTAAACACACCTTCCAAGCCTTCAATATGTTGGGATGAGAGGAAAAGCCCATAGTTTAGGAAGGAGTAATGTAGCATTCCAGTAGCCTGAAAGAAAGATTTAAGAGAAAAAAATTAGGGACATCTTTAATCACTTAAGTGACAATGAAAGAGGGTTTGCCCATAGCAGAAGATATGCTATATTACCTTCCTGGTTCCTTACACACTGAGAAATCCTATGATTACCTAGAGTCGCATTAAAAATTTTATTTTAGTCCTACTTCATACAGTGTGAGTGACAGTCTGGTTCCTTTGGGTAAAAGCTATTCAGGGAAGATGATGCAAACCTGAGTAACTTCAACTAAGAGAGGAAAATAGTTAAGCCTACTGAAAAGCAGCCACACGTGTTGAATTTCAGGTGCTGCTTCATGGGATGATGACTAATCATCGTGTGTCACCAGGGAACAAAATATAGTTTTATGCATCTTGTGGTCTTATTTGCATTGAAATTATAGGATGTGCTAGGAGATTTCTGGGTGGACTTAGAGGACAGTAAAAAGAAACCCATTAGCTCTCTGAGAACATGGGACAGGCATCCTATAATTCACTTTTAAGTACTACCCAGAAATCATATAATTATCCTGTAAAATATCTCGTCCAGTGAAGTTGAAACATTGGAACATTTGTTGTTTTTTCAAGAATGACTATTTAGCATATAATGATGTGTATACAATATTTATGGCATTTTATCTTTCCTGACCACAGCACTCTTTGAAACTAAATGGCTCTCATTGTCTTCTTTCCACTGTTCTTCAGTAGTCTCCTAGCAAAGTTTACTGACCCCTTGTTACATGCCCTTAAGTACATCCTCTTAATTTCTTCCTCCAAATGGCTCTGTGGTAGGCCTTGCTATGATTACCATCACAATCTTACAGGCAAAAATCAAAAGTCATGTAGCTTGTGGTGGCAGAGGCAACCAGTCTCAAGGCTGAGGATTTTCATTCCTGCTGTATGTGGGTTCCTTTTCAGTCTTGTAAAATTCATCCCAACAAAAGGAACACATCATTCTCCTCTTTCTAGACCACTGAGGCATTCTTTGTATTTTGCCCAAACTTCTCCCAAACCAAGTTGCAGAATATTAATGGTAAAATTTAACCAATGGTTATATCTAATGCTATTAAGAAAATACAACACAAATAATTTGGGAAATAATTCATGATAATGAAAAGAAGAAGGGAGAAAAAGATTGCTTTATTCTGGCTACTTTCAGAAAGCTGTTCTTTTTTCAGTGTGTGTGTGTGTGTGTGTGTATGTGTGACAACCTCCATTTTAGTTTGGATTGTAAAAGAGGTTAATGAAGTATTTAATAGGCCAGTTTCAGAGAAGAGACATATTGAAAAGGAAGTAAAGAAACTACTTAGCCCTGTTTAAGCAATATTCTTCAGCAAATTGGTGTCAGCAATAGTTAAACATCTCCATTACTTCTTAATATAAAAAGTGTAAAGAGCAATTCATATTTAACTCCTAATCCAGAGTTTGCTAAAGCAATGAAATAGAGCTCCTTGTTCTATGTTTCAAAAATTTTAGTTTTCTTGTTTACCTAGGGTATTTTTTGAATGAAAGCTTGTTAAACATTATTTCCACTGAATAATTATAGATGAAAAATTTCCAGTGGCTTAAAGAAGGAGTATAGCATAGTCATTAAGAGCTGAGCTTTGTGGTGGGACCCAGGTTGGTGTTCTCTCTGAAACCCATGTTAGCTGCCTATTGATGAGTAAAAGCTTCCCTGTCTCCCAAGTCAGCAGGAAGAATGACAGCAACTACTTCACAGGATTGCTCTGGAGATAAGCACGGTATTGTGCCGTCTGGCTCAGTGCATAGCCCCTTTGGGAGTAGTGATTACTGCTAGTACCATGAGGATGGCTAATGAGAGAACTGTGAGAGTGTGAGTATGAGTGCATGCTTTCAAGTGTGCAGTAGCTGGAAGGCCCATTCTTATTCAGAAAATAATTCTGACATTGTACAAATTGAATCAAATGTATGGCTTTTAAAATACCTTTCCTCCTAAAATTCATGCATACTTATCCAACTTCAAAAATATTAAAAATAAAATAAAAACCTCACACACAACCACGTGTCAAGTCATTTTCACTTATGTATGTTCTTTTCCAGTGATAGGGACAGTTCTTTACATGTGTAGTTTTTTTTTTCTTTTATTCATATGTGCATACAATGTTTGAGTCATTTCTCCCCCTTTCCCTCTGCCCCCTGCTTTACCCCCTGCCTCTTCCCTTACCCCCCTACATCCTCCCTTACTCCCCCCACCCCCTCCCTCTCCCTCCCACCCCCTCACTACCAGGCAGAAACTATTCTGCCCTTATCTCTAATTTTGTTGAAGAGAGAGTATAATCAATAATAGGAAGGACCAAGGGTTTTTGCTAGTTGAGGTAAGGATAGCTATACAGGGAGTTGACTCACATTGATTTCCTGTGCATGTGTGTTACCTTCTAAATTAATTCTTCTTGAACTAACTTTTTATCTAGTTCCTGGTCCCCTTCTCCTATTGGCCTCTGTTGCTTTAAAGTATCTGCATTAGTTTCTCCACATTGAGGGCAACAAATGCTATCTAGATTTTGGGTGTCTTACCTATCCGCACCTCCCTTGTGTGCTCTCGCTTTATCATGTGATCAAAGTTCAATCCCCTTGTTGTGTTTACCCTTGATCTAATGTCCTTATATGAGGGAGAACATATGATTTTTGGTCTTTTGGGCCAGGCTAACTTCACTCAGAATGATGTTCTCCAATTCCATCCATTTACCAGCGAATGATAACATTTCATTCTTCTTTATGGCTGCATAAAATTCCATTGTGTATAGATACCACATTTTCTTAATCCACTTGTCAGTAGTGGGGCATCTTGACTGTTTCCATAACTTGGCTATTGTGAATAGTGCTGCAATAAACATGGGTGTGCGGGTGCCTCTGGAGTAACCTGTGTCACAGTCTTTTGGGTATATCCCCAAGAGTGGTATTGCTGGATCACATGGTAGATCTATGTTTATAGTTTTAAGAAGCCTCCAAATTTTTTTTCCAGAGTGGTTGTACTAGTTTCCATTCCCACCAGCAGTACACATATAGTTTTAAAAGTTGTCTTCTCTCTGCCCTAGAAATGGCTCATTTATTATGGTAAATAACTGTATTTTTCCCATATACCTGTCTTCTTGGTGTGTTTTGTTTTGTTTAGTTTTCTTGGTATGACATCTCATGCTCACCTTAAGAAAGAATTTCAGGCAGCTGGCCAAACTGCATGCTGTTTGTCTATGTCAATATTTATGTTGCTCCTTCTAAACTGAGTCTGATCATCATTTGGAATTAATTATGTTCTCAAAAGGAAATTTTGGTTTGAAAATGGTGTTTTTATATAAAACTTAGCAGACTTTTTAATTTAGGAAAAGTAATTACATAAACATCCTGAAAATATCAAAAACATTCTAATTAAAAAAAGAAAATATAGACTCAGTTCCTGTCTCACTAAAAGCAAAAATAATTTGGCTTATTGGTTTTTAAAGATAGATCTGTTGCCTGGGCATGGTGGCTTACCTTTGTAATCCTTGCTTTTCGGGAGGCAGAGGGAGGAGGATCATGATTCAAGGTCAGCTGTCCCAAAGTTAGCTGAAGACCCTATCTGAAAAACAAATTAAAAGACAAAGGACTAGGGGTGTGGCTGAAGTGGTTGAGCCCTGAGTTCAATCCCCAGTACTGAGGGAAGAAAAAAAATGAAGAAGAAACACATCTGTTCGCCTTTGTGTGTAAATTGAGAGAGTTACAATCATTATGTAGGTTTTGTTATTGTGGAGATCTCTTTAAATTTCTCTACATAACATTTATGGTCATCCAGTTCCTGAAGGTACTATAGAATAAGGTCAAGGATTTGTATAGATTGACTGTGATATATCAATCCCCTGAGCTTCAGATTCCCCTCTTTAAATGGGGCTGCTGATGTCCACCTCTCAGCACGGTTATGAGATTCAAATGAGGCCCTGCATAAAGAGCAATTAGCATAATGCATGGTGGCAATGACTGTTTATGTCATTACTGCACTCATCCTTAATAGCTACCTTTCATTTGCATCTGTACTTCAGAGAGAACAGTGTTAGACTGAAAAATGCAGTCTAATGAATCCTTCATATGACTTTAAGTATGGTCTACATAGAGAATCATAACACTGAATTGTTGTTTGCTGATCAACTGACTGTGGCATTTCTATCTAATTTATAATTCATTATTATTTCTGTATCTGTTAGATGAGTCCTCTTCACACTTCTGTCTTCCACATGAAAAACATCCTACTATTTCCCTCTTAAGTTGAAGAGCTGCATCTATAAGGAAGTCAACAACTTGAAGGATTCATCTTCCTCTACTGATTCTGCCTTAATCACTCACTAATCTGCATTCCAGGAGTCAAAACATGCAAGTCAAGTGAAATTAATAACGTGTGTAAATTCTTATCACATGGAAACAATTTAGGTTTCAGAAAGACTAAACCACTTCTGTAAATGAATGTGAGATATAGAAACTAGAAGAATGCCATTTATTGCCAAACAAATGTGAAGTGATGGAAATGAATCTCCTTGTTACATTTACTTGGAATCTTTATGTAGAAAACAATTTCAATAGAATTCTGATGCTGTTAGTCAATACTAAGTTCTCTTAATCTTGGTATTGTTTTAGGTTCGCTTTGACAAAGAATTATGGACAGTTCAATCTTTGTTTAAAACTTAGCCAAATTCTTCCTGGTTAGGTATTAATGTACTTTACAAGTAAATACTACAGTTCTATCCATTTTTTAATCCTTCTGTTACTCCTTTGTCTCCCTGTTTGGAATAATTGTACTCCCAAAGGAATTGAGTGTGTTGATTCCATGCCTAAATATATTTCAACTGTGAATGACAATGTAAAAGCCAGCAGGTTTAAAGATTCCAGGCTGCACAAATTCATAGAAGGGAAGAGAAAAATACTGGTGAATATTTCAGAAGTAAAATATGTGCAGAGGAAAGCTAACATTACAAAATATGCAAATTTCTGAATTTCTGGCTCTAGTTAGTGTGAGGAATTAAAGGCTGTGATGTGTGGTGTGAAAAATTCCAGGCTGATTTTTCTTTGTGATAGATGATGCTATGTTAATGATGAAGCATCCTTTTTAGCATGCTAAGGACTTCACAACTGTCTCCCTGCTACTTCTATTTTATAATCACAAAAGCATCCAAGACAAATAAATAACTCAGGAAGTTTAAACCTTCCGTACAGCTCTTGGAGATGTTCTGATGAGAACAAGTCAAACAAAAGGATTGTCAGTGGCTAAGCAATAGAAAATCACCACTGGGATAAATATTGTATAAGTATGATAATGGGAGAATCAAAATCAAGCACACATGAAATAAGTTCAAAAATGTTATTTGGCTTTTGGAGGAAAAAAATAACTGCTACAAACAGTGTTTTTGCTACACTTGAGAAAAGTCCAGTCTGGCTCCTGCCCTCAGTGCTTTATGAAGACAGTACTTGGGAAGGTCATGGTTTCTCCCTACATCACCAAATCAAAGAGGTGTTTTTTAGTTCTCATTTACTCTTGTGTTTCCAGGAACATTTGATGCAATTGACCACTTTCTCCTTCCTAAACTCTTCCTGTGGTCTCTATGCTAACCCTTTTCTACTTTTCCTGCATCAATCTCAGTGGTCTTCCTCAAAGTTTTTTGCTAGCTACTTCTTTCTACATGAACTTTAAATGTTTGATTTCCACTAAGTTCCTTTCTAGATTGAGGGCTTCAATTGTTATCTAATTGGTGATGCCTCCCCATTAGAGATTTTTTATTTGAGCCCATACACTCAAGTGTTTATCAGACATTTCTCATCGAATATCTCAAAGAATATTAAATGCAACAGTCATAAATGGAACTCTGTATTTCCTCACATCCACCAACTTGCACCCAAAACTATCCTTCCTTTAAAGTTCCACAGCTAAAGAAAGACTGTTTTTAACTACATATCTTCACCAGATGTCAACATCAACAAAGAAAGCCTTATTACTTAGTAATAAGGTAGATCATGCTTATTCCTCTAAACCTTCCTGTAAAGGACCAGCAAACTATTAACAGGGAACTGTGCATTGGACAGTGGATAATATCCACTTTTCTAGGGGTTATTAGATAATAGTTCTGGTACAATGTTAAACACAAAGTATTGTCATACTTTGCTAACCAAGGAGTGACTTAAAACAGTAGGTGAAAAGTGGATTCATGGCACAAATTTCTTTCACAGTGGTTCCAGTTAGGTCATGGGCTTATCTTGTGGCTGTTTCCAAAGTCCCATGTGCTATAAATATAGTTAACTCCTATCACACCTCCATTTAACTGGCTTTTTTGGCTGGTAGAAAAACCAGATGGATTTTATAGAATGACTTGGATTATCACAAACTTAATCAGCAGTGATAACAATCACAGCTGCTGCACCAGATGTGGTTTCTTCATTGGAATAAATCAACATTGCCTCTGGCTGCTGGTATGCACCATGCACCCATTGATTGAGTAAATACTGTCTTTGTTATGCCCATCAATAAAGATAATCAGACACAATTTACCTTCATCTTCTAGGGAGGTAGTTAAACCTTTACTGCCTGATCAAAGTAAAGACCCAACTGTTTACTTTTTGATACAAGTAGTCTGGAGGAGACTTGACTACTCAGATGCCATCCCAGTCTATTGTACTAGTAGCTTCATACTAAAAGGACTTGCGAGAAGTTTATAAAACACTTAATTGTCAGCATAAGGAGATCATTGCTGTGACCATCAGGTATGTGCCTCCTTGGGGAAGCTTCTAGGGGTCAAGACTCTACAAATGTAGGAAAGTGTCTTTCAAAGTAGGAAGCCAATTAAAGGAGCATAGCCTTCAATGGATCTTTGGATTTTTTGTGCAACATACACCCATTCCCCAGGTATCCTTCTAGTTAGTCAACTTCAAGAACAACGTGGAGCTGGTAAAGCCTCTTCATGAAAAGAAATGGTAGAAATAGTCTTTCCACTTGTACCTTATTACCCCGTTGACTCAGTATTGAGATGCAGCAGACAGATGCTCTTTGCAGCCTCTGGAAAGCTCCAGTAGGAGAACTGCACACAAACTTGGGGTTTTGAGTCTTGCCCTAATGACAGTATTTTACACTTGAAAGGCATTTCCCGTTTTTCCACCAGACCCTGGTAGAGACTGAATATGTGAGCAAAGGATAATGGTTATTATGTGAGGCAACTGTACAAACTCAGGTTTATACAGCCTACTCAACCATAAACTTTGGTTTTGAATATGCAGAGCACAGTTCCTTATAAGATGGAAATTGTATATGTGAGAACTTTTGAGCAGGCAAAATGGGACCCAAGTAAATTGTTCAAGACTGACTCTCTTAGGTCCTGATCCTGTGACTTTGTAGAGATTCCCATGAGACCTACTTCTGTGGCTTTGCTACCTCTCACACAACACATATTAAAAAATGCCTAGGAGGGAAGGCATGGTAGCTCACAGCTGTAGTCCTAGCTAATTGGGGGTAGCGATAGGGAGGATGGTGGTTCAAAGCCTACCTGGGACAAAATGTTCATAAGACCCCTTCTCAACCAAAGGCTGGGTGTAGTTGTGTATGCCTGTTACACCAGCTACACCAGGAAGCACAAATAGGAGGATTGTGGTCTAGACTGGCCCAGGCATAAAATGAAACCTGATGTTAAAAATGGAAGACTGAGAGGCTCAAGTGATAGAGTGCCTGTCTAGCAAGTAGAAGGCTCTGAGTTCAAGTGCTAGTACTGCCAAAAAAAAAAATCCAGATTCCTAGGAAATTTCCAGAGGAGAAAAAGTATGGGCCTGGTTTACAGATCTATTATCACAGTATGTCTCCATCGTCCTGGAGGTGATGATCACTATGTCACAGCCCTCTCCAGAGTGCTCTGAACAGTTAGTGAACAGAATTTATGGCAGCATATGGCATTGTCTATGTTATGGAAGGGGAGATGTCCTGATGTTCAGATCTTTGGTAGTAGCAGACCCTGTTTCTCCATGGATGGGCTAGCAAAGCAACTGCATACCAAAGGGTCACAACTACTTGTGCTTTTCTTTGGTGCTTCACCACCTCCTTTTAGCTCTCTCAACATTCCCTACACTGTTTTTAATATTCTCTTCATTAACCTAGTCAATTAACCTTCTTTATTGAACCATCAGTACCATCTGTTTTCTGCCAAGACACCAACTGACACACTTCACAAACAGCTTTTGAATCTGTCTCCTTTTCTAGATCTCTATTGCTACTAACCCAATCCAGCCTTAGCATCAACTCAACTCTTATTGCTGCTTCTAAACGTAACCTCTACTGTCTTGATCACCTTCCCACTCTGACCACGTTTTATTGATGACATGTTTCCGAGGATCAGTTCTTTCAACAGTAAGATTCAACATGTCTGTTGCTCCTCCCAACAGAGCAAGAAGACACAATGTGTACATTACTCACTCATTGACTTAGTATTTGGCTGTGTGGCTTGTTGGGGCCAATGGAAAGTTATAGGATGTAATACTTGTAGACGCTCTAAATGTGCTTGAATAGATTTATTTGTTCACTTGTACTTCTGCATTCATGTGAGAACAAACCCTGGCTATAAGAATGAGAGCTACATGGAGCAACTGACAGCCTGGAGCCAATCCCAGCTGATGTAGCAAAGTTCATCAGACATAGCTGCTTTTACAAATGGATAATTTAAAAATTCCTAATTATGAATATTTAAGGAATAAAGTAATCTATGCATATATTTATGTACTAGGACATGAATATTATAGAACTAAAACAATAACTATTATGACTGTATAACTTTGGGATATTTGAAACATATGACACTAAGTAGAGTGGATTATAAATTGTCTATGAAATTCATAAAAGGGCACACATAAAGAAAACAACAAAGATTGGCAGTAGTTGAACTTTTATACAAAAACGTTTCATAATTTTCTTTATACTTGAGAGAATTTAATAGAGCAAAAAAAATATGGATTTGAAATCACACAGAGCTGGTCTTACATCTGGGTTTTGCTAATTGTTAGCTATGTGTTAGAGATTACTGAACTTCTCTGAGCTTCTTTCCTTATCTGTTTCCACAGTTTCATCTTGCTTATCTCCAAAGGCTACTGGCTACATTAATGAGAAAAATGTGTGCAAAATATACACAATTAGTTGTTCTCTATTTTCTTAAATATAATAATATATTTTTCATAAATATATTCCTAAACAATAAAAATAGAGAAAAGGAAAATGTTTCCATTTATTGAATTAATGAAATAAATTACTTTTCTTCTGGAAATGCTTTGTTTAGTGAATAACCTTGGTGAGATCATACCCTTTGTCTAAGCAATGATAACAATACAGATACATTATTGAA